TATAGTATATGTATATGTAGTATAAAGTATACATTATCTATACACCGTGTACATATTTTATAAACTGGATGTCCATATGGTATTTGACTATATTATTCCTTATTAATCTGTAGATTTTGTATCTTTGTTGTTATCTGAAACCGTAATTTCTAATATCTTCTGGAAGTTTGTCTTTGTTGCTCCATGTTTAGCCTCTACAATATGGTTATATGCACTAGGATAAGTGAGAGAGATTTGGAGTTCTGTAGTTTTTGAGAAAGATATTTTGTTTATTTGATCCACAAAATATCAAAATGTTTCTTGAATCATTTACTTATTAGTATGTAATGCAGTTTCGAGTTGCTTCTTTTTCCTTTGTAATTTATCTGAGTAAATTTAATGAAAATCCATACCATGATAGAAGACATAACATGCTAGCGAGAAGCCCTCTCTAAATATTTGGTGTTGGACAAAATGAGTGTGAATAGACGCATCGAATTAGGATCTTGGTATATGGAATCCGGTCATTCAGAGGGTAGAGAAGAGGTTAGCAGGTTAGCAGAAAAAGCTACTTATCCAAAGAAGGCAAGGAAGTTCTTATAAAGAGCACTTTATTGAGTATCCCTACATATTGCATGTCCTTGTTCAGTGCACCTACCACTGTGATAGGTAAGTTGGAAATGTTTCTTTTCCTATGGGATGTGGTGGATGGGGCAAAGAAGTTCCAATTAATTTGATTGAACACTGTGACATCTCCTTAATGGTCGGGTAGAATTGGGGTTAAGAACCACTTTTGGGTAAGGTTGTGGAAATTTTGGGTGGAGGGAGAAACTTTATGAGGATGAGTGATTGCAGATAAATATGGTGAAATGGAAGGGGGATGGCGAACAAATGTGATCACTGTCCTTTCAAGTGTGTTGTGTGGAGGAATATAATGAAGGGGTGAGATGATTTTAATGGTACCATTACTTTTAAGGTTGGGGACGGGAGTAGAGTTAGCTTTTGGGGGAAAAAGTGGTGTGCATGTTTGGTGATCAAGGATGAATTCCCTATATTGTACAAAGTCTCTTGGTGGGAGTTGTCTGTTCATCAAGTTAGAGAGAGGGACACAAGGGGATGAGACTTTTTGGGATGTAAGGTTTAGGAGGAATTTTCAGGATTGGGAGGTCACCAAGTTTCAAAGATTGCTAGTTTTACTTCAAAAGCAGTGTGAGCCAGTTGACAGACCTGATGCTTTGAGTTGAGAGTTAGGAAATAACAATCTTTTCTCAGTTAAGTCCTCTGAAAAGCTTCTGCTTAGGCCGGAGGTTTAGTTTTCCACGTATCTCAGTTTGGATCCTAAGATGCCTCGTGCCAAGGAAGGTGTGCCTTCTTGGCGTCGTTAGCTACTAGAGGGGTGATTATGACAGTGGAGAATCTTAGGAGACGAAAGGTTATCTTCGTGAGTTGTTTTCTTTGTACGGAGGTGGGTGAGGATGTGACCATACTTTTTTTTTGAGCAGGTAATGATTTGTATTATAAACCAGTACTTAGGTGGTACTGAAAACCCCTTCACAAATAAGTAAAATCTAGGAACTGAAACAGCAAGCCTAGCATGATTCTAATACTTCTAGGATTACTTCTGCATCTATAGCGGAACTCTTTGTACACCAAAAGCATAATAACAGAATACAATCTTTTTTGAACATTTGTAGGGAACTAGGGATCTGCTTCTATCCTCGAAGCTTCTAGCATTCCTTTCTCTCCAAATGGTCCACCAATAACTTCTTTTCTTTGCCCCAATTCTTGCTTCCTCCCAACTTGATAGAGTGTCAGCAATCTTGCTAGACATTGTCTATTGAATATGTCTCTGAGATTAAAGAATTCAGAGGAGAAATCCCCAGGGACAGAAGTGAAAGAGATTCCATCTGCAAACTGCAAAGGAATTTGCTATGGAAGTTGTACTGAGAGAAGATAACTCCGACAACTAAGCAAAGGAGTCAGTGGCTTTTATTTTAGGGGTGAACGGGAGGGGGATAGACACAATTGAAGACTGACAGTACAGTAGTGATAACTCGATCACTGGTAGGGAGACATGGGAGATAGAAGAAGCAATTCCCATTGCAACAGAGACAGAAAATGCAACAACTGAGCAGGAGAGAGTTAACTTTGCTTGGGTTCGCCAGAACATCATCATGCTTGGCAAAATGTTCAGAGCAGATTTCGATGTGACCATATTTTAGTACGTTGCAAATTAGCTACAAGCTTATGCAATAATATCCTTAGATGGTTTGGAGTTTCTTGAGTAATGCCAAGATCCGTAAAGGAGTCGAGTTTCAGCTGGAAGAGTGGAGCTAGGAGAAGAAGGCACAAGGCTTGGAATGTTAGCACTCTTGCTTTAATGTGGGTCGTTTGGAAAGAGAAATAGGAGAGTTTTTGAAGGGTTGGAGATGAGCTTTGTTTAATTGACGAGTAGTCTCTGATCCCTTATTTTCTTTTTGGTTCACCCATGTTGTTCCTGTTTATATAGGAGGATGGGGTGTTTTTCTCTTTTGGGGAGAGCCATATTATGTAGGTTTCTCCTCTTTTGGTATAGCACTTGTATATGGCCAAGTAGGCCTTGTTATTATAATTGAAACCTTTTGCTTGATCAAAAAAAGAAATAGCAAATTCTTATTAAGGGTACAGGGATCTCACCATCCCATCACAGTGCTTTGGTCGTGACTTCTTATTGTTAGGTACTAGGGCTTTTTTAAAATTTTAAGAAGACGAGTGAACTATTACGATTACGAGGAAGTGAATATAGGATTTCGCTTCAACTTGTTTAATTTTTGGGTTCTTACCATTGAACCCAATTCACTACTTAAATTATAGATCCAAAATTTTTGTTCTAAACATTAGTAAGTTTTTACACGCACTCGCCCACACACACACATACTCCCCGTAGAAAATGTTGGTAGCTAGGCACGAAATCAATTTGATTGTGCTATAATATCCTCCACTACTAGTTTTAATAGAGACTTCTGATTTATTTAATTATATAAATTTCTACTATGAAAGGAGAAGAGTTCTCCATGTGTCACTTAATAATTTTGAAGGAATAAACTAAATAAAGAAGAAAGAAAAAGTACTTCAATAAAACGAAAATAGGGCCACCAACCATACTCATTTCCCATTGGTGGGCCCCATTGTAAATAAGAAATGAAAAAACAAGACAAACATGGGATGGGAACACCCGACCACCTATAGAGGTGCACCGCATCATATGAATCTTTGAGCTTTGGTAAATACTTCTGAAGAAATATAACATTGTTATTTATGCATGGTTATAACTCTAGAGAGAGGAGCATGAGTGCACATGACCCATGCCTCTCACATGGATCGGTCAGCTGTTATGCATCATTTTGCTAGACTTAGCTGCAGCCTTGCAGAATGTTTCAGTTTTTCCTTGTTAAGTGTTTGTTTTTCTCAATTTCAACATTTCTGTTGCTTTTGGCCTGAGTTTGATAGGGTTTAAGGATTGAAAATGAGCTTGCAAGTCCATTTATCTATATATGAATACGTAACTACGAAGTTCACAAAAAAGTTCTAGTTTCTTCCCATTGCTCACAATCATTTTTTGGCCTCTGTCTTATGTTTGTATTGTGTGGTACGTCTTCCTGTTTGCGTGAAACAATATTCATAAGATTTATCGGTTCTGTTGTTTTCCACTTACTCTGCTTTATATCATGTGATGCAGAGACTGAGCAATAAGATCAACTACGATGTGCTAGAGAAGCTTTTTGATGATTCTGTATGTGCTCCTACTCCAAAACTTCTTTGAGAATTCCTTTATACCTTCTGCTGTTACTTTCAATATTGCTTGGATGTCAATTCCTTTGGTGGAGTATTGTTTCCTTTTTTTAAAAAAATCTTCAGTTTTGACCTTATTAGGTATACAGAATCTTGGGTGTTGGGGGTGGATGGCTGGTGTTTGAGACATCATTATGCATAATATTTGGATATTTAAGAAGCTGGGAAGTACTTAAATAATGAAAACTTGGTTATGCTGCATCAAAGTATAGTAGAATTCTCCATTTTTCCAGTTATATTGCTTGTTCAATTTGTAATTACTGGGAACTGCATGTTAGAAACTCTACTATTACAAGTGTTATTTTGTATCCCAAGGGATAACGCGCCCTTTCCTCTGTAAAGGGAACTGAGTTACAGTTTCTTGAAAAGGAGAAATGTATGGTTTATCTATAATTGTGTTCCAGATTTTCTTGTGACTAAATATGAAAAGATCTGACAACCAAACACACTCAAAATTAGGAAGAGAGATAAGAAACCTTGAAATCACAAGTCATAGAAGAACTTCTGTAGCACCCTGAAAATTTATAGTTAGATGTATTCATCTAAAGGACAAATTACACAAATTATATGGCTTATTGCTTTCATGACTCATCTCCATATATGTGTTTAATTCATGGTCATTTTATTTATGCAGGCACCTGAGAACCCAAAGAAAGCTCGAACTGCATACGATTCAACAGATGATTATGGGGTAAAGAGCGACAAAATTGATCCAGAAGTAGATGAGAATTATGACGACACATTTGGTGAGGATTTCCATTCCGGTGAGGATGTTGGAGGATATGGCTATGATCAAGACTATGATTTGGATGATTATTGAATTAATCTGCCTTCCCCTTTGAGAAACAGAGGACACAAGATGTGTATTAGGAACTGTTGGGGTGGCTAACTGCATCTGAAAGTTATTTTCTTTTTAATTATCATTGATTAATTTATTTGCTGGAACACTTCCCATTGCTGGAATGTTAAAAAGTGTATCAGCTTTTGGAATGTTAAAAAGTGTATCAGCTTTACTTCTGAGGGAATTCAGTTCTTTCTTAGAATAGATATTTGCATGATTGAAGTTGAATCTGTTTTATCTGTTTTGTCTTGACAAGATTGTCCCACTATTGAAGGCAAGTCTTCTTTGACGTTACATTGGACACTTGCAACATTTCTATACATCGAAATCATTAAATTTTTCAAATGAATAGCGTGCAGAAAGGATTCCTCTATTCTAATTGAAAAGATATATGTGCTTCAGTGACCTCAATACAAGACTTTGAGGCTACAAAAGGACTTAACGCAGTAAACCTCAGAGAGTCATATCGCTAGCGTAGTGATGAATCACATAACACCGATAAACACATAACAGAATCCAAAAGAATAATATAAAATACAACGATGACTTAAACACCCCACTTTAGTATGTATCCATCGTCTTGGCATATTGCAACTTTTCTGAAAAATATTCATGTATCCATGGCACACTAAGTGATTCGTATTGCAAACACCGTGTACAGAATACCAGCATTGCATAATTTAGATGAATCTCTCCTGAGCCCTATCTTGTGCCAGAAATACGCGTCAGACAACAAACCTGCTACAGAGATACCAGCAAAAAGAAATTTAAACTTTCTTGAAATCAATCTTACATGATTACAAGGAACTATTCTTCAGAACTGGAATGACAGCCCCATACTGTGTAAAATATGCAAGAAATATATGAAACAAGATAAAAGAATTACTATTAAATTCTGTCTTTCTTCTTTATCTGTGACAATCTAGACATGCCATCATCTCAGCACTTGAACAGAATGGAGCTTCTGCATGCTATTTCTTCCTTTGAGCAGCCTGTGATAAGTGAAACCGTACATGTAAGGAAGTTCCTTAAAAAATTTATTTCAAGGATGGACAAACGACGTACTGAAAAATTTCTTTCTAAAATATAAAGGTAAGGAGAGATGATTAAAATGGAGCAGTTTCTAACAATAACAGTAACAATTCCACAAAGGAGAAGTGAAATTAGAAACTATTTTAACTCCTCAAATCAACTCAATCTGTCCTCCTTTCTTTTCCCTTCCATTTTTCAGTACAAGCATGGACACTTTTTATTGAGAAGAAGCATGGATATTTTCTTTTAGAGCACCAGCGAAGTTGTATCAGACCTCAAAATTAGGTAATATATGTAAAAGATGAAACCCAATTGACGGCTTCTCACTGATTTGATTGTGTTCCACTCCATTCATGCACCTCTCGACCCTCCGGACATAGCAAAGCACATTCTTTTTTCTTTCTTTTTTTTAAAGAAATCAGTTCATTTCTCCAATAACATCATCTTGTGTGGTTGAATGTTGTCAAAAGAGCAGTAAATGGACAGGTTATACCACCTAATTTGATTAGAACCTCACGTGTAGACAAAATAGAAAAGTTAATTGAAGTCATCCATCAAGCTTTCCTGCAGTCTAGTAGTCTCAGTAGCAAATAGTAGCAGAATCAGATTTTACTGAAGTCTATATAGCAACTTAGCAGTAAAAACAACCTTACTGAAATACTACTTCCTTCTATCACTTAGCAAAGTCAAGCCCTATCAGATTTCTTCAGCAGAAAACATTCACAAATACCACTTTTTTTTAAATAGAATTTAAGATCCCTACCCAGAAAACTTCACTAATATATTTAGTCACAAACAAAGAAACAACTTCTGCTGGAAGCGCACAGGCATAACTTCAAAAACTCTTTACAATTTTTTTAAAAGCCTTTTTACATAAAAGGTTCCCCTCATAGTTACAGATGCAATTACTACTCTTAATAAGATTAACTTTGAGTTCTTCTCAACCATAGATACATATTCAGAAGGATTCCACTTGAGGTTAAAAAAAAGACAACAAATTCAGATAGAATAGACCTATTTGCGAATTCATTACAATCTACAGCACTGTATAAAAGGATATATCAGAATGTAAAACAGCAGTTTAAAGCAGTTCATACCTTCATCATTTTTTCCAATACTGAGTCTTCAAATTTCTGGTATCCAGCACCTACAAGATTACTCAAACTCGGGCCCTCAGATTCTCCATTTTTCTCAGCGTTAGGAAACGGAGAGGGCATTGGAGGCTGGAGAGGCACAATTAAGAGAGGATTTGATAGATCCCCCAAGACATTTCCACAAGAAGCTCTCTAAAAAGGAGAAAAAAAAACGTTACTGATGTATTCCAAACAGTAGAGATGATCAATTAAAATCGACACTCAATTTCCTTGTATTAATCAAGAATCAGTACTTAATTTCATAAAGTACTCACAGCTGCTTCTTTAGATGACATGACAACAAGAGCAGACCCTTTCTTCTTAGAACTCTTGATTACTACATCTTCAACCTCACCAAACTCACTAAACACCTCTCTTAGTCTTTGGGCAGTATAGTCTTCACCGATCTTCTCCCAAGATACCTTAAGCACCTTTTCCCTGTCTACACTACTCCCATTGCCTTCTGTACAACTCTCCTTAGCTCTAGCATGTGCCTCTTTCTGTGAAGGATCTATAGGAGTAAACACTTTCTTTGAATGCATTGCACGAATTCGAGCAATCTCCTCCTTAAGTTTTCTAGCAATTCGTTCTTCCTCTTCTCGAGCTAGAACACTTGCATCAGGTGAAAAAGCTGCACGCTCTCTTGCATCGAGATCTGACATCATCTTTCTACGCTTTGAATCGTGTTGTGATTGGCGTTGGATCTTCTCACGTTTCACACGAAGTAGATCATCAAATAGCTTCCTCGCTTTCTCGTCCTTTAGAATCTCGTATGAAGTTTTCAGCTTTTGAAAGTTCAAGTGAGCATTTGGGTCATCACGCCTCTTGTCTGGATGCAACTCTAATGCTTTCTTCTTATAGGCTTTAGATATGTCTTTCTCAGAAAGTTGGGACCCTTCCTCACCAGAGGGTAAACCCAAAGCAGCATAATGATCAACTTCAATATCCATTTTCTACCCCGGAATTTGAACTGTGCAACAAATTCAAACCAACTGTATCAGACAAACTATAAAATTAAAACTACAAACTGAAATGATTGACAATCACAAACTTTTCAAGATAGATTTTAGCTAGCTAAGGAGAGACTTAACCGATGACAATAGATTGATAAAGGTACCATTCAGCTGTTAAACAAGTTCTATTAGTGTAGGTCCTGTCACAGATTCTATTCCCAACTTCATTGATATTATAGATAGGGCATAACAAATGATTTGGCATGGAAAAGTTAAAAAAGGACACGTGGAATTAAATAACATAATAGAAAAACCATTTGTGAACAGAACTTCAATAAGCTTCATGTATGTTATTACCAATAAACTATTAAAGATCAAGAATTACCAAGGTCATCGGTTGTAAGGCGGCAACAACAACGTACCCAGTGTAATCCCATAGTGGGTCTAGGGAGGTAAGAGTGTACACAGACCTTTTCCCTACCTCGTGGAGGTAGAGAAATTACTTTCAGAAGACTCTTGGCGACGCATATCAAAGCAGTTTGGAGAAAAAATACAGTAAATAAGGAAGACAAAGAAAATGATATGGAAAGCTTCACACGGCATTCAAAAAACGAAAAACAGTAAGAATAGCCAAATAATGTGATAATCGAAGCACAAGAAACATGTAGTAACAAAAATCGCAGGACAAGAAACTACGAGAAAAATGTTGCTACTACTGGTATGGAAGAAGAAACATGTACGGAGCATCAATCTAACACCAAGCCTATCCCGGAGGAAAGCAAGACAACACTAAACTACTTACTAACCATCTACCTCATATCCTCCTATCTTAAGTCATATCCTATTAAGCTCAAGATGTGTCATATCATGTCCTGTCTAATACTCTCCCCAAAATTTATTCGATATTCATCAATCCTATTGATGGGCATCTGCTCATCTCCTTTTCACATGCTCGAACCATCTCAATCTCACTTCGCTCATCTTGTCCCCTTCCACCTTGACCCAAATTTATTCATTCCTAATCTTATCTCTCCTAATACACCCACACGTCCACATCAACATCCTCATTCTCGCAAGTTTCACTTTTAGAACATGAGAGTTCTTAACTGGCCAACACTATGCCCCATACAACATAGTCGGACACTTGACCTAACCACCACTCCGTAGAATTTACCTTTAATATTAGTTATCTAAGTGAGGCGGCTATAATACAACTACGAGAAGTTCAAATTTTTCTCTAAACTATGCTTAGCTTTTTCCTCCGCCAGAAATTTGTAACAAAAGTACCCTCATTGTTACACTTCCATATCATATTTTCCCTTCTTCTCCACCTCAGCAAACGGATCTTAGCCACAATTCACCACCGTCCACAAAAGTTCACACATAGATGACACATTTGAGCCAATTCGGCCAGACAATACCAACTCCAACACCCATTAAGCCAACCTAGAAGCCCATGCCCACGAGCGCATCCAACACTCTAGACAAAATATATCCTGAATTCCCGAGAATCTGGTAAACCCCTTCGCGACTCCCTTTTCAGAGGCAGATGCAGTGCCTATGCTACGGGTTCATAGAGTAACTTCGGCTCAGAATTTGTATATACTTTTTAAAATTCACTAAAACAAGTACGAATAATAGTTTTGAAATCCAGAAAATCGAGTGGATTTATAGTAGAACCCCGAACTCAAACCTATAGTATTTAGATTCTAACTATGCTCCTCTTTTCTTTAGGTCAAAAAAAGTTGAGTTGACCCCCAACCATATGGAATTCTACACACCTTGTTATATTCTTTACCATGAAAGAAATAACAGATTGTCCTAGAAAAAGCACTTATTTTTTTGTTCTTCCAGGAGAAGAGGATATACTATGAGGAGTTAACAGATGCATAACTGGATATGTTATGCACAACTAAAGCTTCATACACTAATAAATTTTTTGTGTTAACAAATGCATAACTGTAACAAGTTAACAAGTGCATCACTGTATATGTTACACTGGAAATTATCCTCTGCACAGTGTATATACCAATTTACTGCCAGAATCACACTCAAACATTAAAACATCATATAGAATAAGTTTTGAGAACTCCTTAAAATAATACATCATTTGCTTTAAGTCCAGACTCACTACATGTGTTACCAATTGTCTAATGGGCAGCAAAAATATGAAATTTTGGTGTTTCATTAAACCTGAGGGGAAAACAATAAGATTTTTTCTATTATTATTGTTGAGAATAAACAAAAAGTATTTTCTTTTGTGCAATAACTTTGTCTTTTCACTCCACAACTGAAAGGCTAGTCATGCTCTCTACAACAACCCATCTATGCCATGAAAAATTTTAACTTGAAAACAACGGCAGATCCACAATCTAAAAGGTCATGGGTGCTTACCAGTAGACGTTGAAAACTCGGAGAAACTTGATAAAACGGCAACAACGTTTGGGTAGAGAATTGCCAGAGGTATGCTGGAGCGAATTCTGTAGACTATCTATTCCTGTGGTGTCTAACTAAGTCGGCGATGATGAAGTGAGTCTGAGGAAGACGAAAAGGAGAGAAACAGGCGGAGTTTTTAACCAATCACAATAATAAGCACAAAAAGTAAGCTTCAAAAAAAGACAATAAGCACAAGAATAAAAAGGGCTCGACCTTGGATGGACGCAATAGAGTTAGCCGGAGAAAACGTCCGGAAATCCGGCGGGTGTCGACCTCCGGCGGCGATTAAGAGAGCAAGTCTCCGAGAGATATTAGGCTTTTGAATGGATAGAGTAAGAGTATTCACTTTGATCCCTAAGGATTGTAATATTAATATTTAAACCCTCATTTTTTGAGATTAATCTATAAAGTGGTATGCCCAGTCCCAGTCTCATAAAATAATAGTCAGGTAAATTTGGGAATTGATCCTTTTTTTTTAATAGAATATATAAACTATATGTTCCACAATTGTTATTTGGTGACTAACTTTTTTTTTATAATTTCCTGTTAGATATTTTAAATGGTTAATTATGATATTTTTTTATATAATTTTTAAATATGTAGAAATTAGATATTTATATTAAAAATTAAAAAGTCAATTTAATCCTATGATATGAAATCATAAGACGAAATAAATATTTTATGTAATTTGGACTTTTTTATGTTGTATGTTTTCTTACGAACATAAAAAGCTCATAAGTTATAAAACTACTAAAACTGTCTTATTTTTTATACAATCTTACTAAGCTATTCTTTAAAAAAAACCACAACATTTATTGATTAAATTTTAATTCAATAAAAAAAATAATATTGAACATAAGTAGTATAATCCTTAATGTAATCCTTTCGCATAATATGATATGAGTCAATATTATTACATCGTGTCATTTATTGATCGACTTGGTTGATAAATAAATTTGATAAGAAATAAAAATTTTCGTATATAGCTAGTCGTTGCTTGGATGTTTCCCCAAACTGAGATTAAACTGTATAATTATCAAAATAACTACAACAATTAGGAGTTAATCATAATGTTTTACTCACTGCATATAACAAAGAATACTAACCTACCAAGTAGTATATTAGCATAAAGGGCAAAGTGAGAAGTACAAATATTGCTTTCAACGTAAAAACACATTACAACATCAGGTAACAAAACTGATGGACATGCCTCTAGAGTCATCGATAACAACTCTATTTTTTTTATCGTCATTATATCAAATTAGAATAGACTTTAGTACTGTAATGCGATGTAACATCTGGAAATTGTCCAACAAAACCTTAATGTAGCCTAACCTAACCTCCAGATTAGTGCCTCTGCTGGAAAATGGCAGCATTCAGTACTGAAGCACCAAGAGAAAAGGGCAAACAGATACCAAAGAACTACATGAGGAATAAATCCAAATCTCTAGCTACCTAGAAAAGAAATAAGCTTACAGATGCTCGATGTATTTCATGATGAAATTTCAGAGACGAATTACACTTGACAGATTCACCAGAGTTGCTTTCTTGATCAATTGAATCAAGCTTTCCCATATATAGAACTCCTCCCATTATTACCTGGGCTCTACCACGATGCCTTGTACACTATAGCCAGGTAAGAAGCATTAATGGCAGAAAACTAACATCTTCACGATATCACAAAGGACTTCACTGTCAAGTTTTGTGGAGCTTGAAACCGAATATCCTTGGGACATAATTTTGTGTTGGTTTTTGTGGCTTGAGGTGTGCGTAAGTCATCAAATAGAGGTGTGGAAATGTTGTTCCAAAGTAAGCTCCATCGATATCTTGGGCCGTTAAAGAAATCATAATAGAGGTATAGAAATGCTCAAAACATGGCAAAGTAACGACTAATATTCTAGATGAATGAGCAAACTACCACAGAAAAGTGTGTGCTCAAGTTCCATGCAAGTTAAAATTGAAGAACAAGCAGAATCACAATAGCAGAAAACTTGGGAACAAAAATACACAGCTCAACCACTTGGCATAATTGTGAAAAGCTTCAGTGTAAACAAAAGAAATACATAAATGACGAGAGGAGACGTATATTAAAAAGAGGAACTTCAAAAAGTAATAGCAATAAAGGATACTGCCTTGGTACTTTGATCGGGGATAATAGATATCCTCACATCTAGGACAGTATATTTTTACTGTACTTGAACGTGGAATATCGGACTGACCAACTGGAAGGCAAGGCTGTCCACAGCAATAAACTCGTGGACATCTCCCGAAGTCGTAGTTCTTGTACTTCTCTGACTGAAAAAGGGTTTCCCAGAATTTACACCATGAGAAGTGAATTGAAAAAATGAAAGTAGACAACACAAAAGCAGATAGGCTCCTCCTCGTGAAGCTGTAGTCCTATGCATAGTTGGATTTTGTAATTGTACAAAGCACTGGTTTGCAGATCTAATACATACATACATACATACATACATATATATATATATATATAAACATGTTACCAATTCAGAAAAAAAAAGAAGAGAAAGCTAAGCATAAGAGATCACCATTGCAGCCATTCCCTTGCTAGTCAAAATGTACCGGACATGGATCAAACCATACAACATCTCTGCCGCTGACTCAACCAATTCATTCTGCTCCTCGGTGAACATATCACCTAGTCAAAGCAGGAAATAGTTACAAAGTTGACATTCTCCATTTATGAAAAGGACGAGCTATCCATTTTGAGAGCTTGCTATATATTCAGTGCAATAAAATAGACGATATCTACATGAAAAAGGCAAACTGGTACTTATTTTCAAAGGAGAACAACAACAATATTGTAAAAGCAGGGGGGAAAGAAGCATGAATTCGAATTTATCGCCTAAAACAGATTCCGTGTCCATTTAAACTCGTGTAAAAGAGTTAATTCAGGGGTATCAATTTTCGCATCATTTTTTCAAGGCACTATAATTTGTGGAAAATCACAACAAAATAAAACAACTACATGACTATTCCATCATCTCCCTCCCCAAGAAAAAGACATACAATGTAGGGAAAGTGTCAACAACACAAGTTGTATGCAAAGTTTTCTAACTGTGAGTTCTGGTTGGACTCTGGAGCATTTCTGGTCCTAGTAGTTTCCAACAAAAGTATCAAGGTAGATTGAAGCCGTGAAGAATTGGCCGAGGCCCACAATTCCAACAAAGATTCAGACTTGGGTTTGGACGGGTGTTGTAGGAGGTTTGAGGAAGGATTCACTCAGTTTTTCAGTAGCTAAAAGTCAGTATTTTACGACAAAGAACAGCAGCTACTGTTAAAACACAGTTTTTTACAAACAAACAGCAGTTTATTCTAGTGGTAAATGCAGATTTTATATGGAGTGTCAACTGGACAATGCACAAGCCACTAAGGAGTCGTTTGGTTTGGATTCATGTTATGATGGGATTAGTTATGATGGGATAAGTTATGAGGAGATTAGTTATGATGGGATAAGTTATGCTAAGATAATTTTTTAATGCGTGTTTGGTTTGTTGTATTCAAAATAATAAATCTTAAGAACATGTATATTTACAAAAATACCCTCCATGAATGTGAAAAGTAATGTATAAAAAGCGGGATATTTTAGTAATTTAGTCATTTTATCCAAGAATTACTATACCACCCAAGGAAAGGGATAACTTATCCGGTACTAATTATTAATCCCGGGATAAGTTATCCCGAACTTGTCAACCAAACAACACATTAAGTGGCACTAAAATTTAATCCCAAGACTATTCGAAGTTATCCTTCACACCAAACGACCCCTAAGGATTTCCAACTAAGCTGGCATAGAGAAGGTACTTGGAAACAAGAGGTTGAGCACTTGCTATCAGAAAACTTTGCCAACCGAAACTAAGACACGAGGAAAGAAATCGCCTAATGTTTTAGTCTTTACTGATATTTGAACTCTGATCTCCCATGGTTTTGATCTCATTTAATCTTCTGCTATGTTGCACCTTTGGCTGCAAGAAAACATCCAGTTTCTTCTCCCAGAATTGATTATTTAAAAAAAAAAAAAGGAGTCACGAACAGCTGACATTTACATGTTTCCTTAACATAAGAATCAACATCATCTAGATTGTTGAAGAAGGATGAGTTCCACATGCCAAAAAAGAAAACAAAACTAGCAGAACTTGTAGTTTCACCTTCCTTTTTTCACAGAAGTTCAGATACCACATCCTTTGGTTGAAATAGTAAAACCAAAAAGAAGTTTCCTTGTAATTCATGGCACTATAAGAAGTACTATAAACAAGCAAACATACTTACCATGAGAGGATTCAACATCAAGGATCAGGTCAAGTGCATAGTCATAGTATGGCACTTGACTGCTCAATCCACATAGATTAAAATCATCTTGAATGTATTCATCATCAACTTCACAGAAGAACTCATTTCCACGCAGGTTACAAAACCAAGAAATCCATGATGTATCTTCCCCATCAGAACCACTAACATCAGACTCTTCACTGTCTGTTTCAGATTCATCTGCAAAAGACAAAATAATGTGTATACTATCATATTTAGTTCGCTAAAAGAGACAAAATCAAGAATTTATGTCTACTTAGCATGCAGAAAAACAAGTTTACAGATCGTCAAAATCCAATACCATGAACCATTTGTCAAAAGGAAACTTGACAAAATGACAAACCAACATAAATTGTACTTAAATGACGATGTCAAAAGAGTTGTAGTAAAGTGGAAAAAAACTAAGTCCAAAAGTCGTTGCAACCAAATACATCAACAACCTCTACGTCTCTACCACCAGCTGTAACTCCACTAACACTTCTTGAAATTGAAAACTAAAACTAAAGGCAACAAATCATTAAGATGCAACTATGAGTAAAGTGCTCCATGTACTCATGGAGCCCAGTAAACAAGTCTGAGCTTCTCACTGGACAGCACAAAACATCATAAGCCATTAATAGGAATGGGAAACACCAGGAATATTCGCTGTGAACTTTTCATTCACCCAAAAAAGAATTCAAAGATTAGCTAGAACAAATTTGAGATGGCGCGCTAAGAACCTCGCATAATGAGAAGATGATCACAACTAGTCCATCCATTCTCTTTGAAACTTGATAATCTTTTTTCTGGTCCCATTCCACGCTGCTCTTTGCAGACAAGCATAATCTATTGCATTCAGACAAGTAGTCAGATCTTATTGGAAACAAAAAGCACCACCAGCTCTAAGATAACTGAAAATGCTCCAAAGAAGCCCCTAAACATAGTAAAGGATTTTGAGGGTCGTAAAACAACTTCTCAATTTACTCAAACAAAATTTTATCATTACCGGCTTTTTTCCTACACCCCACAGAAGAATTTAAACTCAAAATTGAAAAATTTGACATTATCAAATATCCTCATCTTCTCAAGCTATCCACAGCTACAAGGCAAGAGACCAAATTACCACATAAAACTTATTCCGGCATGAAATGCTCCCCGCCAAACTATGCAGCTAGAGCGATATTAGACACATGTAGGTATACCCTTCTCCTTGCATTTCTTCAAAGAGGTTTTTTCATGTTTCATACACAGGAGCAATTTTGTTGAGCCAATCCTCTCCCTCAATACAAATCAAACTTATGGCCTAATAACAATCTTTCTAGCTCTTCACTAGAATAAATTCACAAAGACGGACACTACACAACGTCAGAGACTACATGTTAAGGCTAAAGCAGCATCTCCCGGATCCACATTCCACTACATGAGGGAAATGAATAATCAACCATTTTCAACTACAATCTTACCCAACAACAGCAAATAAAACGCATTCAAATATCAACTAAATCGTTATACAGGAAATCAGGGGAATCCTTTTTTCCCAACACAAAAAAAAAAAAAAAGTCTAACCATCTGAGCATTTATTCTTCGTAGCAAGACTAGAAGAAGAGCGGGTGTCTCGATGATCAACATGTTGCTGATGCAATTTTCCGGCACCTACGGAGGTAGACGGAACCGCCTTGTCCTTCAAGGCTCTAGATGTGGAAGGTGCAGATTTTTCCAAGTGCTTATCCAACGCATCATTAATTCGTTTTCGATCCAACGTCCCACCGACGATCTCCGACCTCGATGAACTACCACCACCGCCACCTCGATCCCTATACATTTCTCTCTCTCTCTCCTTCAACCAAACCTATACGTATACAATATATATATCTACAAACCTATCAGTTCTACCTGTATCAAGCTCAAAACTCCATAGAAACGGAGATATATAAAAGGAGAAACTGTGTATGTGAAAAGAGAGTTGAACAGACGGAGATAACTAGGGTTTCATCGACATTTGAGAGAGATGACAGAAGAGAAGCTCCTCTGTACTTCGTCTTTTTCTCTTTCTTCAATTTTTTTTTTTCGATTTCCCTTATGTTACATTTTTTTTATTTTATTAACTTATTATTATCTAACCTTTCACTTTATTAATTAAATTATATTTTCAAATTTCATAATTCAGTAAAATGTACTTTAAAAATAAATACTTTTTGATAATATATTTACTAAAGAAGCTTGATACAAAAGCTTTCTCGTATAAATCGACTCAAATGTTAATTACTCTCCCGTTTAAAAAAAAATAACTTCCTTTCTTTTTAGTTTGTTTCAAAAAAAAATAATTTTTTTTAATAATTTTTCACGCAACATGTTTAAGGTCACAAGATTAAAGGCAATTGTACATTTAACATTACTTTAATTTAGAATCATATAATGAAAAGTCTTTTTTATTTTTTTAAACTCCATATCAAATTAAACTAAATCATTCTTTATAAAACGGATATAGTAATATTCTCCTTTACTAAAAAATATATATTATAATATACTAAATGTAGGACAACTTTGTAAGTGCTCAAGTTGGAATGTGTACACATTAGAGTTGTAAAGATTTAAATTTTTGTGGAAAAAAAATTGTGTAACCATTTTATTTATCAAAAGTATTTTTAGAATAATTTAAAGGTTTTGCAATTGAATTATGGGAATAAAATTATTTTTGATATATATATATATATATATATATATATATATATATATATATATATATATATATATATATATATATATATTATTCTGTGAATTCTTTTATACGAATTTGGATTAGTTAATTCTTTTCTCTTTCACTTTTTATTTTGATTAAAAAAAAACTTTTAATTTTATGTAGAATTATAATTCATAAATTAGTTAAATTGTACTCATATCAAGCAAGTGGAAAGATGTGTTATGTGTTGCTTTCAATGTGGGTAACAAACAGGCTAATTATTGAAATTAAATATAAAAAAAATAGATGAATTGTTGGTTAGGAAAATACTAAAATTGGTTATTCTTACTTAATTTATTTGTTTTTATATTTACCACATTTTTTCTTAAAGAAAACGTTAAGATTTAGAAATATATTGCTTACCACAAATATCCATTTTGATCTTCCCTTTTCTTAAAAAAGAAGAGAAAAAAAAAACTCTCTTCTGTACAGCTCCATGTCTTGCTTACAAACTTTTTTTTTTTTAAATAAAAATTAAGTTTGTCCTTTTTTTACAAACATAAAATTTTTATAATTCGTAAAAAAATAATTATGTAAAAAGGTCCGTTCTTATTTCTTATCAAATGAACAAATCATAGTTTATAAGCATGCAGGATATTCTAAAGCACCGTATAAATAAATTGTGTATCCCTATATTCATTTTTATAAATATAGTTTGCAATTATATGCTATTATCATTGATAACTAGCTATTATTTATACCGAGCATGATTTCTTAAAAAAATTAAATTATAGATCAAATTTACATTTTTAAAAAATAATTGAAATTCTTGATTCGAAATCTTAAATTCTACTTGTTGTTTTCTAGAAGATTTGTATTGAAATTTGAAATCGATCATGGAGAATGGCCTATTAAGTATTGAAACACATCATAATTTTTTTTTAAAGGATGTAGTGTTGTGGATGAAGTTATTTTTTTTTAATTAGAGATCTTGAGTCTTTTCTCCTCGAATGAGGCTCTACGTAAAACAAATCTAGATTAATCAGACTTCAACACAAATATTAGATATCAAATAAAACAAAAATTGCTAGTGGGTTTGCTATAAAATTAGACCCACAACCACATATAGTACAGACAAAGATATGAGAAAGCATGGATCCTTAGCTTATCAAATTCTTTTATACTATTATAGACTAGTTACTATTTTTATCATGCAACTGATATTTAAGTGTTGTATTAAATTATGTAAATATCTTTAAATTGTTCGTATATAAAACATAAACTCAAATCAATCAACAATTTTATGAAAATAAGGAATTCTTTTTACTCTAGCTCCCATTCCTTTTGCTTTCTTGGTGACTCGAACTCGCAACCTTCAGACTGGTAGTGAAGAGTGTTTACCATCCGAGCAACTCTATCATCTAAAAAAAAAGATTATAATAGAGTGATAAGTATTTTTTTTTCTCGAAACCATAGGTCTCAGGATGAAGCCTACTGGGCAAGAAATCACCTTTGCCAGAGAAGGATTTATCATGCAATGTCAACTTCTCAATACGAATTTAAATTTAGTCAAATTTCAATAAAAGTATCGAACTGGAGTAAGATTCCACGAAAAGCAAGTATAGATAGTAAGTAAGGTGTGAAAGAGAACAAGTGGGAGAATCTGACAACCCAACTGGAGTCTATTTGGTGTCATCATTAGTGTCTCTTCCCTGCAGTATCACATGTGTGTACTCATTCTTGCAATAGAGCAAAAAATCTTATGAGAAGGACAGAACAAAAACTCTTGGGAAATAACTTTAGAGATTGAAATTTGTGTTCTTCTTTATATACAGTATATGGACTCTTATCAAAATAAAATCAAGATTTGTGTCAACACTCAACACCTATGAATGTGGATTCAGTGAACTGCATTTGGATAATGATGTAGAATCATACTATTGGACTGTTATATATAAACACCAACAACATATGTAGTGTAATCCCACGAGTAACGACCACGGAGGGAAGGATGTACGAGACCTTACCTCTAACTTTGTAGGGTAGAGAGGTTTTTCCCGATACACCCTTGGCTCATTACAACAATATATATGCTGCATAAGAAAAACTGGTTTTCAAGACTGTTTCCGAGAAAATTGCAATGCTAACAGAATAGGCATCTCTAAAATCTTAAGCACACAGCTTATCAAGAAGGAAATAGATATAAGTAAAGAGCAGTAGCAAGTTGTATTCTATAGAGTTCAGCACACTCATCTTTCTTCCAATGAACTTTTTGTACTCCTAAACTCGAACTCACTCACAAGACAAATAGCAATAGTAGGCTGAGACTTTGCTTCTACAAATTCCCAGAGTATGCCACTAAAATTCAGATAAAACAAGCCCTATGAATCATCTGGAGTGAATTACGATTCATATACAGTTATCGCTCTACTAATCAACAGATCTGTCAGTGAGAACTTGAGCATGACAAAAGAAATATCTTCCTCTCCCTTGACATTAGTATAGAATCTAGTACTCCAATATGTTAAAAGCTTCTTCCTTTATGCAAATTTGTATAAACTTAAAACAACTTGTAATTTTCCCTCACCCTACCCTAAGAATATAAATTTATTGGATGATCAGGGTGAGAAGAACAGCAATTGAACAAATGAATCAGAAATATTCACCAACAGTGAAGAGAAAACTGTTTTGATCTCAACTATGAAAATCACTTGATGAACATTTATCTGAATACTTAGCTAATCACAATGAACTTGCCTCTATATATACAAAAGGAATCAGCTAACTGCCTAACAACTTTTCTAAATAATTCCCACTGACTTCTACTGTTAACTAACTTAGCTAACTATCAACTAATCACTAGTCGACAACTGTACACCTTATTAACTGCTCAACGGAGTGTTATTAAGATTACATTTAAGACAACAGGATGATTACCAGAAAGTATTATAAAGTTATAACCAAGTAATGTGACATGTTGCTACGTTAATTCTTGGGTTAAATGCACTTCTAAAGCCAAGGCTCTAAACAGTTTCTATTTAATAAGTTCCTCTTCAAAATAGTTCTTCCTAGTTCCAAGCCAAGGTAGAAATCAAATGTCAGACTCTTTTGAAGAGGCAGCTCAAAACTTTTAAATACCATTACTCAGTTATATAGTAGCTAAAATAATTTCTACAAAAAGACGGTTGTTCAAGCACCAAAATTACATCATAGAAAACAACATAACTTGATTGAAGATGAACCATAACTATTTCTACCTACATCCCTATGTGAAACGAACACAGAGAAATCCATAACAGCTCTCAACAATCATGTTAACCGAAGAACCAAAAGTTGAATTCCGGTAATTTTCCCTTGTTAATACAAGTCGAGCAACAACCAATGCAACTACAGAACAAGCATGTTCAATACCCATCGTACATAATTGATCCTATGCTTCCTCTCTTGGAACCCAAAGAAAGCTACTTAATGTAAGGGCATCCATATCATCAAACAATTTTAATAGCAGACAAGAAAAAGACAAAAAACAACATGACCTTTTATTAATAAAAAAGGACTTGTAACATCTAACTGCGCTAGAGGGAGAGGGAGAAACTCTTACAATTTATACAGGAAAAATAAGCTCCTCATCACCTATTCAAGAGTTGAACAACAAAACACTCTTTGAGATTTTCTACAAGCACCGTGGTACTTTCTTTCACTGCTTCTGGTCTCATGATGCCAATTTCTCCCGCTAAAGGAATAATCTTATACAAGTGTGTTACAAATAAGAAGGAAGGCTTCATGATATAGAACCTTCTAGAGTATGCAGATCATAGCCAGATAGGAATAGTGGTCTTTGGAGTGCTTCTGTAGCATTTAGCTCAATGAGACTGTTTTATCCAGAGCATAATCCTGCTTCTTGGAAGAATCAATCACACTATTCCATAAGGTTTAGCAAGCATAATACATCTTTGATATGTCTCACATGATAGAGGCTCTGCAGCTTATACTTACCGCGCGAGCTTCCTGAAAAACAATTTGGCACTTGTTGTGGCAGCATCGAAAGCCTAAAATCCAGTTAGCCTTTGATGTTAAATTGAGTATTTTAGGACCCAGTCGCAAGATGCTCCATACAGCATTCAGATCAAGCAAAATAGGCAAGCGACAGATATGAGACCCATCAAGCACTCAAACCCGCCCAATTTTTGAAAGCAATAAGTGCCTCCATTTTACCGCGATTTTTCCTTCTTAACTTTGAAACTCTGAGCTTCTTATGTTTCTCCATGAATGCTTGTTTATATCTCCATTTATCAACAAAAATTTTCATCTCTTGAGATTTCTCCACAACTTGCATTACTGCATCAAAGAAGCCCCCTTTGACCAATGCATACAGAAATGCGTCAACCAGGCTACTATCTAGTTTTAACTTTGTCTCCCCTTCCGCAGAAACCTTCCTTTTGACTTCATTCCACAGCATCATAACATTGAAATACTTCTCCACGGTCACATTTCCATTTATTAGAGAAAGATATGTCTGCTCATTTGGTTCAAACTGAAGGAAGGTCATTCTCCTGAAAGTCCTCCTTGCATCTTCTAGCCGTCCAGCCTTGCAGAAGGCATGGATGATGGAGTTCCAATCATGCGTTCCGATTTCAATTCTAGGATCCTCAACGATCTCATCCAAGAAAGCTGCCATGAGCTCAGGTCGATGACTTTCTGTTAAACCGGTCATGATTGTCAAGTAACTCCCTTGCAAGTCGGGTATTCTTGCTTCTCTCATGTCCCTAAACATAGAAAATGCAGACTGAAAATCTTGACATGACATTGAAGCTTCAATTAGAGCATCATAGGTAGCAACATCCAACTGGAGACCTAAACCGCTTATGTCTGTCACCAGTTGAGCAGCTTCAGCGGTTCTTTGCTCTTTCCTATATGCTTTCAGTATTGGAAGGTAGACTCCAAGACCTAAAGCAGCACCTTGAGCATTCATTTCATCAAATATCGTGTGTGCCTTGTCCAATAACCCAAGATTAACGCAAGCATTTATGATGCCATATCCAACGGATCTCTCAACAATCACAGATGGAGATTCCAAGGTCTGAGTTTCACTGATCAACATAGCTAAATCTTTTATGCTCCCATTTTGAAGAAACCCACTTACTACTTCACTATAAGTTCTTTCTTCAAAACATAATCCTTGTCCACATGTTTCTCTTACACCTTGAAGAATAGTTGCTGAAACAGACGCCAAATTACCACACTTTACAAATCCGCTAATCAAATTACTAAGAAAAACCCCTTTATCCGGGAAACCAAATCCGCTAATCAAACCTTCTAACTCAGCTATTTTCTCTTTAAGACCTTTCAATGCATACAAGTAAGCTAGTAAACCAAAACTACATTCGTCAGGCCTAACACCCAAAACTGACATGGTCTCCACCACTTTCTCCGCGTCAGTAGTCGATTCAATCTCTCGACAACAACATTCTAGAGCAGCATTACAAGCTTCCAAACTAGGTTTCAAGAAATTCAACTTCTCATCAATAGCAAGCCTACAATTCTCATTAAAAACTTGTAAAAACCCACCAAAGTTACCATTTTTCCTACAAATCTCCACAAGAACATCACCCCACAGATTAAAAGGGATGAAATATCTGTTTTTGAACATACACTTCACCAATGCAAAAGCAGGGGCAGCACTATTAGCATCCCTCATTGAATTCAACAGTACATGTACAGTTTCAGGCTTTAACAATTCTTGCTTCTTCTCTAACAAGAAAACTACTGACGCAAATGCTCTTTTTATGTTAAGGGTATCATTCAATGATGACAGATGAATGATTACTGAATTGGTAAGTGACTTACTTGGGAAAGCAGAGTAATTTGAAAGAGTCTTGAATGATTTCCATGCTTCATCTGTATTGTTACTTCTGATTGAATCTAGAAGAGTGGATTCAAGATTAGATTTGTGTTCTTGTGTTAAGGTTAGAGGGGTTTGGTCATGGGGTTTTGGTGGGGTTGTAGAAGGTGATTCAGTTGTTTTTAAGGAGAAAATTGAAGGCTGGAGAAAGGAATACAAAGTGGGTATTTCAGGTTGTGAAGAAAAGGGTCTTTTTGAGAGATTACAGAGAGCTCTTCTCCACATTCTTGCTCACTGTGTCGCGCTGTTTCTTCGACGGAGAAGATGATTATAGAACAAAAAATACCCTTCGCAAAACTAATTAAGTCAAACAATTTTGTAACAAAAAAGTTATAGCAATAGAACTTAGCAATTGGGAAATTATGTGGTCGAGTAAATAATATATTTTAATTAACTAGCTAATATAATTATAATTTATGTTAATTATGATTTGAAGCTTATTATTGGCTCTCTCTCCTCCTCGTGAAATCTCGCTTTTCATTTTTGTTTTTTGTCCCTTAATCTAGTTTTCTTTTGTCTTTCTCTCTCGCTTTAAATAAATACAGTGTATATTTTGAGTTGTATAAAGCAAAAATTATTTGATATATAAATACAATGTTTTAAATCGATTCAATTGTATATGATTTCAAATTATATGCAAATATATAAATATAATAATTGATATATTTTTAAATTTTATCATATAGAAACGAATCGTAACAAACAAATTATAACTATATAGCATTATTAAAAAAAAAAGTTGGTTTTTTTAAAAAAGAAATAGGGGGCATTCCGAGAATTGAACTCGGGACCTCTCGCACCCTAAGCGAGAATCATACCACTAGACCAAATGCCCATATTGATAACTATTAGCAACGTTACGTATTTTATATAAAAAGATGTCCCTTGAAAGTAGAACTTTACATATTGGACAAAAATAGAGGCTTGCAATGCCGTGGAAGTAGCTACTTCATCCATCTACCATGTCAATGACCACACCTTGCCATTTTTTTGTCATAATATTTTATTCAATAGAAAGAGAATTAGAAATAATAAAATCTTAAGCCCCTCAACTCAAATATTTATTTATCTATTCATAATCAGATTCTGTCTAACATACAGTTTTACAGGAATTTTTAAAATGGAAACACAACAATTACTGATAGTGTTATGTGGATCTGTGGTGTTGTCCTTTGCATATCTCACCAATTTTTTACTTCTACATCCAAGAAAATTAAGATCAAAACTTCAAAGCCAAGGAATTAAGGGACCTTCTTCACCATCTTTTTTTCTCCATGGAAATATCAAGAAACAGGCAACCCCAGAAGAAAACAACAATCAAGAATTAGAACAAAACAAACATACATGGCCTTTCAGAGTGTTTTCACATATAAAACAGTGGCAAATTGAATATGGTCAAATCTTGATATTTATTATACAAATAACTTTTAATTCTTTTAGCTTATGTGGGGTTTGTTCTTTTTTTATGTTTAAATTACTGCAGGATCAATATTCATGTACTCATCTGGAACTACACAGATACTATGTGTAACTGATGCAGATATGGTGAAAGAGATATCTTTGAACCAGGGAAAACCATCTTACTTATCCAAAGATCATGGTCCTCTTCTAGGCCAAGGCATTTTCTCTTCAAATGGACCTTACTGGGCTCATCAGAGAAAGATCATTGCCCCTGAATTCTATCTCAACAAGGTTAAGGTACATACACATATTTATGCACTTGTTAAGTTTTAAGTAATACAATCACAAGCAGTCGCGGAACTAAGATTTTCACTGCAAGACTAGAATGTCAAATAGCTGTTGATTATGCAGGAGATGGTGAAGCTGATGGTTGAATCCACCAGTAAAATGATGGAATCATGGGATGAGAGAACAAGAAATTCAGAAGGAAAATCGGAGGTTAAGGTGGACGATGATCTCAAGAGTTTGACAGCAGATATAATCTCAAGAGCTTGTTTCGGAAGCAGCTATGCTGAGGGGGAACAAATCTTCCTAAAACTTCAAACTCTTCAAATGGTTATGTCCAAAGTTCCCATTGGAGTTCCTGGATTGAGGTAAAAGGATATTGTTGCTACTTTAGAACTATGTTTATCTCTGTAAGGTTAAAAGGGTGAGAAATATCGATCTTTTTATCTCGTTTCAAAGAGGAGGAAAAGGAAGGAGGATTAAATAAAGTAAAAACTCATGGTAATAGATGATTTTCCCACTATGTTCAGATTGTGACAGGCATATTCCAAGTAAACATAACAGGGAGATATGGAGATTGGACAAAGAGATTAAAGCAATGATATTGAAGATAGTACGAGCACAGAGAAGCCCTACTTATGAGAAAGACCTTCTGCAAGTGATACTTGATGCTGCTAAGAGTTATGAAGAGAATGGTGGTGACTGGCTACCAGCTGACGTTGCTGCTGAAATGTTCATTGTCGATAATTGTAAAAGCATATACTTTGCTGGCCATGAGAACACTGGTCTCACAGCATCATGGTGTTTGATGTTACTAGCTGCTTATCCAGAATGGCAAGCTCGTGCCCGTGCTGAGGTGCTTGATGTGTGTGGTAGTAAGTTGCCAAATGATTCTATGCTTAGACAAATGAAAGTGGTATGAAGTAATCTAAATACCATATAATTGAATTTCAAATATACTTTATACCTGGATCTCTAACATGTATGCATATTCCGATTGGCAGCTGACAATGATCATCCATGAAACGTTACGTTTGTACCCCCCAGTAGCGTTTGTGGTGAGAGAAGCATTGCAGGATATAAGTTTTAAGAGAATTGAGATCCCAAAAGGGACTAATATTGAGATTCCAATCCCAATCCTGCATCAGCAGCCTGAACTCTGGGGACCAGATGCCTATAAGTTCAATCCAGAAAGATTTGCCAAGGGCATTGCAAAGGCTTGCAAAGTCCCAAGTGCTTATATACCATTTGGCATAGGGAGTAGAACCTGTGTGGGACAAAATTTTGCGATGATTGAACTGAAGGTGATTGTATCGATGATTTTGTCTAGGTTTACATTTTCGTTGTCACCAGGATATCAACACAGTCCTGTTTCTAGATTAGTATTAGAACCTGAGCATGGCATCTATCTGTACCTCCAAAGAGTTTGACATTATTTCTCTTCTTTGATATTTGTTGATGCCTGTAAATTGTAATCTATTAAGTTTAATTGACCTAAGAAAAGTTGAATGAGTAGTTCTTCAGTCACGTTACTTTTCAAAAGCCATCTACTAGAGCAACACAACAGAGGAGCAAGAGAAACTACTGTTGTTGCTTGTGCTGTAAATAAATATTGCAAACATGCTATTCTTCCATCAGAAAACTCAAGGATACATGTTCCTTTCATTTAAGTACTTGCCACGATGCAACGAATGCTAGTCAGCATCGGTGCCAAGATGAAGATTAAAGAATCATATCAAAGTATATATGGCAAGTCATGATCATGAATAGCTTTGACATTAGAACTTTCAAGTAATTCACCTGAGCATGAGAAGTGTCTATAACTCTCCTTCGTTTACAAGAAGGATCAGAAACACGAAGATTTGCATGAGAAAACTATCAAAAAACATAGCCCCAATACTCCCTGTAAATCAACATTCAAATATCTTCAATGCGATTCCTCATCATTTATTGCAAATTAATAAACCTATTACCAAAAACAAAAGGCCACAACATACACGATCACATTGATTCTAACATGAAGGATCTGCATTATAGTTGCTTCTTGGGATAAGTTACATGAAAGTGTTATTAGCCTTATAAATAGTTCACAATGATAGCAGTATAGACTTCAATCTCTTATGACTCATGAGAATAAAGACCGACTTCGATTGCGCTCTAGCCGAGCTTCCCTCTGCAAACATGCCAGAAAATGGAAATAAATATCAGAAGTAAAATGATATATCATGAAAAACAATACCCAAAAAAAAGGGTTAGACGAAAAATCTGAAGGCGCAAGAAAGGCAATTCTTTTAAAAAATTATTTAAAGCATAAAGTGGCAAAGACATTCTATGATGTCAATGTCAAAAACACCTAAAAACCATAGACAATTGATTGCTTAATAATATCTTCTCTCCCACAACTACATCCCTGCTTAGGGCGATGTGACGATGTCAACAGTATATGACTTAACAAACACATAAATGAATCTTAATCAGTAAGCAATCCTACACCTAAACTTGTTTGCTTTAAACAACTTGATCCCTTTCATAACTATTTACACAGTAAAGTCACTTGTCTGAAAGTTTTTTACAAGTTCCTCCACACCCAGATAAGAAAAGTACCACTTCAAAGTGGCCACATAACAACCTCTCAAAGTCCAATTTACAGGGCAAAACTCTATATGAGAGGGGTAAAAGCATTTCACACTTTCTTTCACGTTACCAATTTCATCATAAATTTGTTTTACGGAACACATATACTACTACAATCCTCATTCACAAATATGTGGATGTGGATGAGCATAGTTAACATGTATACCTCCTTTTTCTTGCATTCCTTGTAAACATCGAAATGTTCTTGGCATTTGCTCTTCTCTGAGCTAAATTGTTCCAAACCTGCAAGTATTCACAATTTAATCAATTCCCTGAAACAACTGCGTAACAGGATAGATAATATGTGTTTGAATAAATCTGATATGATGGAAAAGCCTTTTCCACAGTTTTCTAATTCTACAGACGACGAATGTGTATAACAATGATATCTCAAATATAATTGCAAGAAATTGATGCACAATGACTTGTGCGTATGGATATAGCCACGAACTCCAACAATCTGGACTACCAAACCTAAATGCTATACTTTCAAAGGTCCTTCAAACCTTCCACAAAACCTTTATCAAGCTACTTAATTGCTCTCTGATATTGCCATGAATTCCAACAATCTGGATTAGCAAACCTAAATCACATTCAAAGGTCCTTCAAACCTTCCACAAAAGCTACATCAAGCTACTTTCATTGCTCACTGATCGATTACCAAGTATTCATCAAACAAATTATGGACAATTCTCTACGCAATTATCATCACAAATAAGTTGTGCTCAATTAACAAAAAAATATGTTTTTCAAACTAAATTCTTGCGAATATAACTTATCTAACCGAAACAACCACAGGAATTTTCATCCCCAGATAATAAAAATAGTTATATAATCCTACAACATATGTTACATATCAAAATTCAAATAATGAATGATCATGATTATAATTTCTGTTCTCTTTAGAAAAATTTCAAATACAACAAAAACAGAATATGATCGGAAGAACAAAGTGGCAGTTGAGTTTACATTTGAGCGAAGCAGTGTATTGAGGATAACAATCGGAATCAGCAAGTTTTGCTGCACTTGGATACGCCGGTGTTTGAATTTTCGAATTTGCCATCTTGCCCTAATTTTTCCAATTTCTGGTCTGAAACTTCTTTGGATTCAATTGGGTATTTTCTCTATTTATTCTTCGGGTCGAATCCCACCGACCGACTATGAAAGAAAGTTGACCCGGAAAGGAACAGATTGGCCCGTTTGAATTGTGGTCCATATCACTGACCTAAATAAGAGATATCTGCCTCTATTTGCAAAAATAGCATCCTTTAAGTTTTGGCCTCATTTTATAAATAGTTTGCCAAAATAAACATTAGACATGAAAAACAGTATGAATTGTAATTTTTGCATCAAATCAATTTTAAGAGACTTCAAGTTTCATATTCAACAATTTTCTATGGTAATATTCAATTTACACTTTAAAAGAATAAATTCACTATATATTTTCTAAATAATCAAAATTTAGCAATAGTATTTCTCAAGTTTTTTTTAATTATTCCATCTGATATTCGATACTCATATTGAAATCTAACTAAATCTAAATATCTATCGGAAAGACCCTCAATAAGGTAAAACACTCTCTAACAAAGACTACTTTATACTCAAAGAGACTCAGTATTAAAACCTCTAATAATGAATGAAATAATATTTATCACTCCAGCATAACCCAGACGAGTGTCTTCAATTTTCTATACATGAAGAAGTTGGAGAAAAGGGGGAAAAAAAGGAGCAACAAGTCCAATGGATATCTATATATTTGTACTACTTTTCTTATTAGGGCCAAAAGTTAAATATCAATCCTTAAAGAGACATGAGGTGAAAATTCTTGCAATTATCCCACCTTTAATAACTTTTGAAAGTTGTTTTCAATTTATGAGTGTAGTTAGAGCCGTCAAAATAGGTTTGGTTCGAGAGGTCGGTCCAATCCAATCCTTGAAATAAGTTAGGTTAGATTTTATTTTTTTGGTTCATTTATGAACGAGGCTTTTGCCCCGCCCTATTTGGCCCGTCGACCTCGTTGGTTCAACCCACAAGCCTCCGAGGTCAGCCCGTGAGCTATTAATTTTTTAAAATATTTTTAATAGTGTTTTATTTGTAAAGATTTTATAAATATTTTGAAAAATAAAAAATCAAGTATGGTGCAATATCATCTTGCATAATGAATTGTAAATGAAGATGAACTTTTTAAGGAAATAATATCACATGTTGATTTAAATGTGATCCATGGTGAAAGTAGAAGCGGAGTTGTTAAACATTAATTAATGAGACATGTAATATTTAGAAATTTAGACTTGTTAAGTATTTAGGTTGTCCTGTGTTGCTGAAAATCTTTTAAACCAGCTAGTTTTTTGTGGGAGAAATGATGGAATGATCAACATCTATCTGCTAAATCTTACGTTGGCTATTATGTATTTTTGTAAGTATTCACCAAAGTGTGTAATTCATAAATGGAATTTTGTAAGTATTCACCGAAGTGTGCGATTGATAAATAAATTTTTGTATGAATTGATGTCGTGTTCATAGACGTCATCATTCGATACTCTTTCTAAGAGAGTAATATTATTCATTTTTTGGTTGAAGGGCCAACCCGTCCCAACCCGTGGCTCGCTATTTTATAGGTCATTTAATTAAAAGGATCAATCCGCCTCAACCCATTTAACTCTCTAGCCCGTTAGAGTTGGATTGGGTCAGCCCATTTTGAGACCTCTAGCGTAGTTAATTGCTCCTTATTGTCTTAAATAAGTCATACAATAACTATTTGTGTGATTATAAACTGATTTCAGCAGGAAAAAGATAGAAATAATTTTTCATTTGATTGACACGAGACATACTATAAAAACACAACTCTAACTAGCAACATATTAAAAAAAATTATTACGAGTAATAATAACTTTTTATTTATTCAAAACATTAAAAGTTTGGGAAACAAATTGATTTTGTGAATGAGAGAATTTATAAAATTTAACATTTGACTACAAGAGACAGGCCCCATCCCCAAATTTCCGGAGCCGGATTAAACCCATCATCATGATTACGTGGAAATAGGTCTGGTTTAATCATGAAAATTATAAATTAAATAATAATGCATAAATTAATTTTGTGTTTGATTATAAATATAAATTAAAGCTTTTTTTAATACGTTATTTAAATTGAAAAAAGAAAGTGAAAACTTAAAACAATTTCTTTTTTCAAATTTCAAAATTTTATGATTTAAAATATAATTTCAGCAATTCAATATTTCAATTTATAAGAAATACATTTTTTCCCTCTTTGACAGCTCAAAATAAAGCTACATTCATTACTTTCCTGCCAAAAAAAAGGCTCTTATAAAATCTTTGTTTTGCTTTTTCTTGTTCCCTCCTTTTGTCCCACTAAAATAGAGTACTTTCTCAAAAGGGTTCTTGAATTTTTCTCCATTTCAAGCTTCATAAAAAACTCAAAATCTTGTATTCATTTTAGTAGTAACTTTTCATTTTCTTGATTGATGAGATGAATAGTAGTACTAGTGCTAGTAATAATGCTACAACAACTGGAACAAAGTTCATCAAATGTGTTACTGTTGGAGATGGTGCTGTTGGAAAAACTTGTCTTCTCATCTCCTACACTAGCAACACTTTCCCCACTGTATGTAAAGATTCAATTTTTATCTCTGTTTTTTTTTTTTTTTTAATCTTGTGGGTATTTTTGTTTCTTGATTTTTTCTCTTTTATCTTTTCAGGATTATGTGCCAACTGTTTTTGACAATTTCAGTGCCAATGTTAATGTTGATGGGAAGATTGTGAATCTTGGCCTGTGGGATACTGCTGGTATGACAAACCCTTTTCCTTGTTGGTGTAAAAATCATCTTTTTCCATCAAAGTTGTTAACTTTGGTCTTTGCCATTCTTGTTTTCT